GCCTAGCCCGTACGTTATGCACTCAGGGTTGCGAGTCCATGTTTCTGGTTAGATTCCCCGTTGATGTGCTCCTGGAGGATTTGTAATGGACTAAGCATATGCTCCTCTTTTGTAAGGTTGTTTTCTATGAAATGAAAGTCTATCGTTTTACTCAAAAAAAAAAAAAAAAAAAAAAGAAATCAGCGTCGAAACTGAATGAAGAAACGTTTGGCAATCAACCAAAACCATCCGATTGATTCCACGATCATAATCATAACTCTCAGGTTCAATAGGGATGTCCAACCACGCTGCTTTCTATGCAATGAGAATACCAACCACGCTGCTACGTATGGCTCAAATCTTTGGCATTATTGCTACATTGCTCAAGAAATAATCAAATCAATAAAATAATACTTCATGAGAACACAAATGAAGAGAATTACCTTAAACCACTGCTTTCGGAGCTCAATATCAGCCAGCATGAATCTCATACGCGGCCGAACCATTCTTCACCATAAACTTGTCAAACTGAGATCGATCACTGAAGCATCTTTTACCCATGTATGTCGCCAAGCCAATGGTGTTGCCCATCGCCTAGCCCGTTATGCACTCAGGGTTGCGAGTCCATGTTTCTGGTTAGATTCCCCGTTGATGTGCTCCTGGAGGATTTGTAATGGACTAAGCATATGCTCCTCTTTTGGAAGGTTGTTTTCTATGAAATGAAAGTCTATCGTTTTACTCAAAAAAAAAAAAAAAAAAAAGAAATCAGCGTCGAAACTGAATGAAGAAACGTTTGGCAATCAACCAAAACCATCCGATTGATTCCACGATCATAATCATAACTCTCAGGTTCAATAGGGATGTCCAACACCCATCTTTTCTTGATTGGATTACTGAAGCGGCGAGACTGCTCCCCAAATCCAGTTTTGATCTCTTCCTCACGACGTGTTGGGCATTATGGGGGGCTAGGAATGCGAAACTTGGAATGGGGAAGTACATACCCCTGCTGTGTGTGTTGAGAGGGCTAGACTAAGGTGGATAGCCTTTGGAAAGGCTAAACATACGCAGAGTTCGACGGCGGGGACCAATAAGAGAGCCAAATGGACTCCTCCTCCTCCAGGACGCCTCAAATTGAATGTAGATGGGGCATGGAATGAAACCAGGACAAAGGCTGGTTTTGGGGCGATTATTCGAGATGTAATGGAGACTTTGTGAAGGCAATTTGTGGCAGCTATGAGGATATCTTTTCTCCTCGGCATGCGGAACTAGTGGCTTGTCGGGAAGCTGTGTATTGGGCAGTAAACAGGGGTTATCAAAACTAATGTTTCGAGACGGACTAACTTCAGATTGTGGAGGCTTTAAGGAACCCATCTCTAAACTTGTCCACTGTGGGACAAGTGGTGGAGGACATCAAAGCACTTCTCCATTCAATCACTGAAGCTACTATTACCCATACTCGCCGCAATACAAGCAATGTTGCTCATTAACTCGCACGGATTGGACCTTCAGTAACCCAAATCTGTGAATGGAATGAGAGTCCTCCAAGTGTTATTCATGATCTACTTGTTGAGGATTTTGTAGGGCATTGATTTTAAAAGTCGAACTATGTAATAGTCTTTTTGATGAAATGAAATCTACTATCGTATATTTTCAAAAAAAAAAAAAAAAAAAAAAAAAAAAAGAAGCTAGCCTTTGAATGCTTTTGCCATGGATGCTCCACGATCATCAAGCTCACTGCAGCTTGAAGCTCCAACTCAATATCAAATCCTCAACCTCAGCGAAAATAAGGACCTTATCGACGAAAAATGCACTATGGAAAATTGGGCCCGCAACTTAATTTCGCACCGGGAGTTCTAATTTCTCAACACATGAAGAATTGAAAATCGTAATACCTAATTGCTTGGCCCAAATTTACATCTGTTCTAACATTATCCCTTTTTTTTTTAATCTTCGCTTGAAAAATTATCTATGTATTAAGTTGACCGTTTCATTCCAACACTCATATTGCATCCGTTAATATCACTGTATAACGTTATTGATCGGTATTGAATTTAAGGGTTTGACTTCCTAATGTTTATAACTTTATATATATACTTGTTAGTCTCTATTGACAAGAGAATGTAGATTACAATCATCTCCTCTTCTTTCTTCTTCTATCTTTTTGATCCATTATTTTTGAAAGCTTTATTACATTCTTCACTCCCTCCATACCAAAGGAAGGAATCGAATTGTTCACTCGATTCAAGTATTGTGAGTATACGCTTACAAGGATTATAGGTTGCTGTATTCTGGAGATTATGACGATATAACCTGCTATACCGGAACATTATCTTAGAGGGGCAAAATCAACTTTTATGTACTGCGATTATACGCCTCAACCTAAAATGTTGTTCTAATTAAAGCATCGACGAATAGCGGTTTATACCCTATAAAAGATAAATATTTTATCTTTTTTAGCTTATTTTATTTAATAATTATGATAATAAAATTTAATATACTAATATTTATCTCATGTGATTTGTTGTTGGAGAAGTAACTTTCATCTCATCAATATTTTCAACAAAAATATCGCTTGGAATGAAACATTTGCCCCATTCGAAGTATCATTTAAAAAAAAAAAAAATCCTTTTAAAAGAATATGATGAGCAACATTTTAATTGGTAACTGCGGGCATAACGGCGTTGGACTGGAAGTGCAGGTTTGCCTTTCGACGGAAGGACGAAGATGAACGACCTGAACATCAACGTACATCAATTCAAATCACCAAATACAGATCAAGTCGAACCAAAATTCGATCAATTCATCATCCCCAAATGGCTGGAATAGAAGAACTTAGAAAAAAGCTCACAACTTTGTCCGATTGCGAAAAGGGCTTCTCCGCCGGCGGCACTTCCTTGGAGCTCGACCCTTGCGATTCCTACACAGTAAGCACTTTTGGCTTTTTTTTTTGCAATCCGAATAGTCAAATTTTGAACTTAGGGCTTCTGGAAATTGTGGATATTTGATTTCTGGGTTTTGGGTTGAAGGTATCGGACAGGTGTGTACAACATCAACGAGCTCGGATTGCAGAAATGCACGACCTTGGCGGTGGATGACAGCGCCGAGTAGACCTACCGGTGTGCCTCTGAGGATATGATGGTGTTTGGGGCAATTGGCAGCGGCGCCAGCAGCGTTGTGCAGAGAGCTATCCACATTCCCACTTATCGGATTCTAGCGCTAAAGAAGATCAACATTTTCGAAAAGGTATCGTACGTCGCCTTTTCGGATAATTCTGTTTATGTTACGTCTTTTTTTTTCTTTTTGTGAAATGGGATCATAGTACTGATTAAAAGTAATTATATTGATTTCCTGTGTAAATTCCAAATTTAGGAACTTTATGCTAGCGATTAGTAACCGGAAAGGAAATGCTGCGGAAAAAACCCCAGAAATTTTGAATGGGGGAATTGAAATAGAGCGTTCTTTGTTGCATGATAGGAGAAAAAGCAACGGCTGCTTGCTGAGATACTGACACCGCACGAACCACCTTGTTACTAAGGTCTTGCAGAATTTCATGGCGCATTCTATACACCGGATTCTGGTAAATAAGCATAGCTTTAGACTTTAGAGTATATCGATGGAGGATCATTGGCGGATACTGACACGGTTCGTGATACTTGTTGCATCTTTGTACTTTGGTTTAATCGTCATGATTCGTCACTGATTTCTTAAGTGCATTCATTTCCACTACTGGGGGCGTCTCCTTTCATGTTACATTTGACGCATCGATATCAAAAGTGGTCTTTTGGTATTAACAAATCTAGCAATGTAATTATGAGTTTGCGACATTTGTTGGGACGGTCAGTTACATGTCTCCTGAGCGAATTTGAAATGAGAATTATTCCTATCCAGCTCATATTTGGAGCCTTGGTCTTGCTCTCTTTCAGTGTGGTACTGGAGAATTTTCATAGACAGCTAATGAAGGACCCGTCAATCTTATGCTGCAGGTAAATACCTGTCAATCTTATGCTGCATTCATATCCTTACCAATGCCTACATCCGCCGTTGTTTTGCAACTGAGGTTCTGAGGTCTATGGCAGATCTTGGATGATCCATCACCTACACCTTCAAAACACAAATTTTCATCAGAATTCTGCTCGTTTATTGAAGCCTGCCTACAAAAGGATGCAGATGATCGTATTAGCCACAGATTTCAATCTGGGAGATGGTAGCTTGACATCAACATTGTTTAACTAGTATTCTTCTTCTGCAGATACCTTTCACACCCCTTCATCACAAAGTACGAGGATTCCCAAGTGGACTTAGCAGCATTTGTATGAAGCGTTTTTGATCCAACACAGAGGATGCAGGACTTGGCAGATGTGAGTACTTGACACTTGCATTATCTTTAAACCAACAAAATTGTGCCAAAAACCACTTTCAAATGCCGAGTCTAGATATAATCTCTAACAATTTGTGAGTCAAATATGTGACAGTTCACGTAGTTCAATTGGTCCTAATGATTAGAGAGGCAATTATTGGTTGATGGAAGATACATTATTTGTCATCTTGTAGGATGTAAGATTGACTAGTCATAAATATGGTGAGTTAGGCCAATTGGATAAGGTACATGTCCAGAGCCTTGCACCAAGTTCGAATCACCTTCAAGTTGATTATTAGACATGTATATTGGGTAATGTGATTTCTAGTACTAACGTCTCTAACGTATGCTTTTGTACTTAACTCCCTTCACGTAACAATGATAATTTTGCTCAATTTTTGTAGTCTTGTTCTTTCTTTGGTGTCAGTGGGATAAGAATCATCATTTACAATCCCTTTTTCTTCTTTTCCCGTCATTTGAAAGTCTTCATATCCATTTCCGTTACATAGAAAGTGAATTCAATTCGTGTTTAGTTACCTACTAGAAATTTGTACCCGCGCGATGCTGCGGGATTTAAAATCATATGAAATATTTTATAGGTTCAATTTTCACAATGTTTGAGTGAAAAACAGAGAATTATGAATGGCAAATGAGTAATAAGTCATTGAACCCAATCAGCAAACTTTATTTAAATAGAACCAAATGAGTAATAGGTCATTAAATCCTCATTTCACCATTCTAATTTTTTTACATATCTGTCTGTGTATATATGAGGGTAGTCATTCAACCCTCACTTTTTTCTTTTTTTAGAGTTCTGCATACTAATTGGAGGAAACCAATGAATTCAAAGCTTTTCCATACCTCGGCTTATAGTTTGAGGGAATTTAATATGTTCTTGGAAATTGGTAAAAGTGAATGTGGAGGAATAGGGGAAGAGTCCATTGTCTGTCAAGCTCTTCCCTTTGAATTGCTGTAAAAGAAACTTTCACATCCACCATTCCACTATTTCTCCTATTCAAATTAAAAAAATTTAAATTAAAGATTTTAAGAAAAAACTCGACAGAAAATCACTATATAGTTCAATAAATTTGGAATCTTTGTTATTTTCCTAAAGAATAAAAGGTGAAAACTTTACCTGAGGAGCTGAAAGCCAAGCTGTGATGAGAGCAAGGCAGATGGTGCTGGAAATGTTATGAAGGGACAGAATCAGAACTGATAGGATTGAATAAATCAGTCAGAAAACTGAAGATGTGATCAACCTGTTTGTTGTCAACCTGCATCCACAGAAAAACCATACAAAAAAATCGCTAATTAGATTCGATAGCATACCACAATGTCATGGTACAAAGTTATCTGTAATCATGAAATTAGTCACCTGAAATCTGCCGGACAACTCATCAGGAAACCCAACTTTTTCTGGGTTTAAATTTTCTCCCAATCCGAAACGGATTCATCTAAAACACAAAGTCGAACGGGCTAATCCCTTCACTGGACTGTGACTTAACAGAGGTTCATAATCTCTCCAACAGTGCATCAGTAGTGCTACTTGTTTCATAGGTTCTGAACTGGAAAATCCCCAAATGGGCAAATCCAAATTTTATCATTAAAACCAAAATTATAGTAAGAAAATAATAATTATAACAGCTTGTACAAAGATGAGTTTTTGAAATTTACCTGCCTTAACTTGTGCACACTTTACATGCAGAGACCCTTATGTTTTTTTGGTGGTTTAAAAGCTTGCAAATCACAGGAGGTTGTCCATTCTGTTTTGAACTCCAAACAACAGATAATGGGATGAGAACCCTAGGAAAAAAAGTCAATTATTAAATACTTGACAATATGTAATCTACAATCAACCAAAACAAACACATAGAGGTTACATTTCGAAACTATTATGCAAAAACCAACCCTAATAATGATTCAGAAAACCTTAGTTAACTATCTTTTATGATTGAAACTACACTATAAAATGTTAAATCCTTATGTAGACATGCAATCCAAAACGAAGACAAATTTGAAAGATGTGAGCCTTACCTGACAACGGATTAAACAGAAGGCACAAAAATAAGATATGCAATTGGAGTTGTACTGTAGCAGCCACTGCTTTCTAAATTCAAAGCTGGGAATAAGAAAATAGAATACATTCCATCCAACAAAAGATTAAATGAAAAGGAAAAAAATTATATACCTTGATGATAAGGAGCTTGCAAAGCCGCAGAGAAAAATTGGAAATTCGAGCAACAACTCTTGCTGCACCTAAAAATCAAAGCAGATCAGAAAAGTACACCCAAAGCTCGAAAAAATTTAAATCACACACAATTAAAAAAAATAGAAACTCATTAATAAACGTTTGATCGTATCCTTAACTTTTTCTAAAATCAAAAATCAAAATACATCAGACAACCACACATAAACGACGGAAAAAAAATTGAAATCCCATGTGCCAAGAAAACCAAATAACTCACAAAATCAGCCAAAAGATACAAAACAGGGAAAAAAGCTAAATCTGGGTGAGAGAGAGAGAGAGAGAGAGAGAGAGAGAGAGAGAGAAAGAGAGAGCCAAAAGATACAAAACAGGGAAAAAAGCTAAATCTGGGTGTGAGAGAGAGAGAGAGAGAGAGAGGAAGAGAGAGCAGACAATAGGCTTAAAGATTTGAATCTGTAAAGTGGTTCCACAAAACCTGTAAAGTGGTTCCAGAAAAGCTGAAAAGTGGTTCCACAAAACCTGAAAAGTGGTTCCACAAAACCTGAAAAGTGGTTCCACAAAACCTGCAAGTTTATAGCTAATCGGGTCACATTCTCCTTCCTCTGCAAATAAACAAATCAAAATTCGATGCCGAAAACTATTTAAAATATATATATATATTTGTTGTTTTACTTTTCTTTTAAAAAAATGTATACAATTTTACACATTTTCAAATCTACATATTTTTAAGATCTTGTAATTCTTCAATAAATTTATTAGTTTGGCATTCTCAATCCAAAAAGACTAAAATTGTTATCTTCACAGTATCAAAGATTGTTGGTTGTCCTCGCTATAGTGTTTCCAATCATATAGTCATTTTGGATAATTTACAATTAATTTTACCACAATTAAAGCTAACTTTATTAATTGCAATGTAAATATTATTCAATCACTCACAACACACCATTTCCCTTTTTCACAAAAAGCAGAGACCCATTTTTCATTATTTATTGAGAAAAACTATTTGCAAATGGCCAAAACTTAAATATCCAAACAAAAACCACAAAAAACTCATATGCAAACAAAAAATAGTCCCTCCGAAAAAAAAACTAAAAACTTAAAAAAAAAAATCCATTCCATCCAACAAAAGATTAAATTTACATATATATATTTGTTGTTTTTTTTCGGCTCTGCATAAAAATAAAAAAAATAAAAAAAAAACGTTTTTGTTATTAAATTTTTTTTGCTCCGAAACCAAACGATGGGTTAGAAAACAAAGCTTACAACTTAAATAGAAAAGAACAACCTACTGCTGCAAGCAACATACCGTCCACTTTGCAGATTTTTGTGGAACCACTTTGCAGGTTTTGTGGAACCACTTTTCAGGTTTTGTGGAACCACTTTTCAGGTTTTGTGGAACCACTTTTCAGGTTCAAATCTTTAAGCCTAAACAAATATAAAAGTTTACTGCAAGTTTATAGCTAATCGGGTCACATTCTCCTTCCTCTGCAAATAAACAAATCAAAATTCGATGCCGAAAACTATTTAAAATATATATATATATATATTTGTTGTTTAACTTTTCTTTTAAAAAAAATGTGTACAATTTTACACATTTTCAAATCTACATATTTTTAAGATCTTGTAATTCTTCAATAAATTTATTAGTTTGGCATTCTCAATCCAAAAGACTAAAATTGTTATCTTCACAGCATCAAAGATTGTTGGTTGTCGTCGCTATAGTGTTTCCAATCATATAGTCATTTTGGATCATTTACAATTGATTTTACCACAATTAAAGCTAACTTTATTAATTGCAATGTAAATATTATTCAATCACTCACAACACACCATTTCCCTTTTTCACAAAAAGCAGAGACCCATTTTTCATTATTTATTTAGAAAAACTATTTGCAAATGGCCAAAACTTAAATATCCAAACAAAAACCACAAAAAACTCATATGCAAACAAAAAATAGTCCCTCCGAAAAAAAAACTAAAAACTAAAAAAAAAAATCCATTCCATCCAACAAAAGATTAAGGGAAAAGGAAAAAAATTATATACCTTGATGATAAGGAGCTTGCAAAGCCGCAGAGAAAAATTGGAAATTCGAGCAACAACTCTTGCTGCACCTAAAAATCAAAGCAGATCAGAAAAGTACACCCAAAGCTCGAAAAAATTTAAATCACACACAATTAAAAAAAATAGAAACTCATTAATAAACGTTTGATCGTATCCTTAACTTTTTCTAAAATCAAAAATCAAAATACATCAGACAAACCACACATAAACGACGGAAAAAAAATTGAAATCCCATGTGCCAAGAAAACCAAATAACTCACAAAATCAGCCAATTCCACTGAAGAGAAAGGTTAGTAAAGATTGAATTGAAATGTAAAACGTTAATGAAAGAAAGCTAATAAACTCTGAATTTTTTCACATACCATTGATCCTTACCATTGTGGTGTAAGCTTTAGTGTTTAAGGTATAGCTAATAATCCTTGTATATGTACCTCTGTTAATATTAAACGAACTTTTTAACACCTTATTGCACACCTGAACACCAATTATGTAAACTTGATTTATTAAACTGGACGGGTAAAAGAAATAGTTTTCTGTTTTGACTTTAGCTAACATAAGTATGTTATTTCATTATTAAATAAGATTGATATGTATCATGAGGATTAAAAAATCATGCCATCAAATAAATTTGAGGAAAAAAAAAGAGAAAAAACTAAATTAACCAAATCAACATGTAGCATCTGCATACCTTCGCTTTCTTCAAACTCTTTTCCTTAAATTCATTTTAATTTTCATCAAATTCACGAACCTATGCAAGCCAAACAGTGTTGTTGGTGCTTTCTGAGTGTGAGAGAGAGAGGGTAATGTTTCCTGCAACCAAAAAACGAAATCAAACGAAAGAACCAGATGTAAAACACGAAGAAATAGAAAAAAACGCTAAGCAAAATAGGTGAAGAGCCGAACTTTACAACAATCATATAAAAAAATTTCTTCCTAACCAAACAGAAAATAAAGCAACGCATGAACAAACACACCTGCAACAGAGCGATTCGTTCGTGGAAAACAGCGAGAAAAACATGCCAAACACCCTCCCACACAATCCGATTGGAATCAAAACCGAAAGACAAACGGAGAAATAGAGAGAAACGGAAAGACAGAGAGAAGAAAAGAAAGAGGAAACTGAAAAATGAAAGATGCTGGACCAATTTAATAAGGGGTGAAAAGAAAAATCGAAAATTTAATCCATTTTTATATAAATGATAAAAACAATTAGGGATCTGGGAGATTGAACGGAATGATGATCGGAGGGAGGAAATTAGGGTTAGAGAAGAGAGCGAAAGAGCGAGCAGAGAGAGGAAACTTACAGTTCGGGATCGAGACGAAGAGGACGAATCTGTAAGGATGAGATTGTGGTGTGAGGATCGCAACGCAGCAAGAGAGGGAAGGGGGGGAGAGAGAGAGAGAGAAACAGACAACTGGAGATCGAAATCGAAATCAAAAAAGGAAGGCTCGAGAACTTCTGGAACCATGAAAACGCGTCGACATCTCATAAAAGTAGAGGATGCGTGGAGAAATCGACAGATTTCTATCGCACAGCAGGGACAAAAACGCCATTTTACTGTATAATAAACACAAAAAACAAAACTTAAAGAACAATTAAAGGGCAAAAACGGAAGAACACTGGCGAAGTAACAGTAAAAAGGACACAGAAGGAATTAACAGGAAGTTAGGCGTTTAGTATATATATAATTTGTCATACTTTTGTATTATAATCAAGCTTGCAGAGGATCCAAATCCGTTCATAAAACATGAAAATAAGTCGAGAAAAATGTAATATATTGCGTGGAAAACATTATGGATTAACCTGTGTAATATATTGCAGAGGATCCAAATGGCTGGATTACAAGAGCTAAGAAAAAAGCTCTTTCCTTTTGGTTGGATTTTGAATTTCCACGAATTGTGGAAACTGAATTTTGGTTTGGGCGATCGGATAGAGGAACAGTGAAACTGCTGATCAGATTGTACGCTGTGTGCAACATCAACGAGCTTGGGTGAAAGTTGCGAGCATGGCTGCGAGAACATCTTAGTAACCTCCGCTCCCAACACTAACGTGTTTTATTGCAGAAGATAACACATTTGGGGAAAGTGTCCGTTGATTTCAGAAACCTTGGGCAAAATATATGCACAGCAAACAATTGCGAATGTTATAAGAAGGGATGTACTATCCACGCACCATGTTTTACTTCTCAACACCCCTTATTAATTTCTGTCATTTGATATTCTTCAATTCATTTAATCTGATGGTCGAAAATTAAGAGGGTGTGTGAGAAGTAAAAATGGATGTGTGGATAGTATACCCATAGAAAAAAAGCCAGAAGGGTTCAATAACTACCATGTTTATCAACAGTCTGAAACAGCAAAGTTTAGCCTATCTATGACTGGCAAAGCTTTCCACAAAGAAGACTCTTGTGTTTCTGTACTATTCAGTTCCCCTGTATTTGGAAGAATAATCATCCATGACCAATTCAATGACACACTAAACCTATCTATAAGTGAGGATCCAGTCATTTCCCTGTCTAGCCAAAACCCTGTAACAATCAGCAGAACTAGCCACGAAAATAAAAAAATAAGAGATTGAGCAATGGAGTTTTTATTATAGGAACCAAACAATTGTATAGCGTGTACAATGCATACAAGCTTTCTTAGAAGTGACAAACATTACTACAACTTACACAATTAGTATATCGCATACACCATCAAGAATTTATCCAGCGTTTGACTTTCCTATCGAATATTCCTCCACCATAAGTAGACACGAAAAAGTCAACGAGAAGGGGAAATTGCATCCAAACAAATAAAATGATAGGAACACCAGCAAGGAAGACGATTGGATAAGTAATCCATGGTTTGTCTTGAAGCATGATGAATAAGGCAGAAGAAAAGGCAACCATCATGGTCGCAATGGAGATGAAGAGTGTGGAATGGCCTATTATCATTTTTGTGGGTAAGGATTTGAGAAAATCATCTTCAGCATAACGCGATGTAAGGATGCCCAGAAACATCAACACTGATGTTGCGGAAGAAAAGAGCGAAATTGCATCTGAAACTATAAAAACCATAAATAGTTTTTGGTTTAAGAATATAGGAAACCTGTTTCTTGGTTGTTTCCACCAGGAACTGTAAATGCTGCAGCAAACATAATTGTAATAATGAGGGCACTGACAACTGTACAAGAACTTGATGTTCCCTTCATCCACTTTTCTCCTTCCTTATGCAATTTCTCGTGACTCTTGGTAAATAGTTTAGAGGGTATCAAACCATCTTTATTTTTAGTTGAGGATCCCGAGAGTTGGAAATGAATACTCTCTACCTCCTGCATTTCATTGAACAAAAAATTATGCACCGTGGTGATATTAGTTGATCGTGTTCTTGCAGTAATTAGAAAAGGAAAAAAAATGATGCATCATTTGATACATGGATACGGTTTAAGTTTAAGCATATAATGAGGTTGAATTTATATTATTCTTGGACAGCATCGACATGTAACAAGGTGAGAAAGAAGTCAAATTTCAAATTATTAAGTGACACAATTTGAATTTCATGGGATTAAGTATTCGGAATGAATTTCAGGGGTCATAGATGTAATTAAGCCTAGAAGAATAATATAAAGGGAAATAATTCTAACCTTGTACCATTGCCTTTCTCTCTGCATTTGCAAGGCTGCACCTGCAATACGATCAAGCTTTGCCAATGGAGATAACATCCCCGCACTATGTAGGAGGTCGTTGTAGGAATCATCTAGTAAATTCGTAATGAGATTTCTTTGACGAACCCCGTATATAAGGCTATAAACTTTTTCTTGACGGCATTCAACAGCATGCTGAAATATGTTCTTGTTGTCTCCATTCGTTCTGAATAACAGTTCTGGTCTGGCTTTACATAAAGAAGTAACGACCTCAACAATCCCATTTTCAACAGCTACGAATATTGCACCATATACATCGCCATCCCTCATTTCTTTACGAGTTAAATGTTTTATCACGTCACACATGCAGTCCAAAATTTGACGTGACCGAACATGGATCAATTTCAGCTCACGAATGCGCTTGATTCCTACGTTGACATTCAAAACAATGTAACTCACAACTCACAACCACATTTTTACGAAATAAAAAGATAGAATAAATAAATTATTAGTTTAAACAAAAGGAAAATGCAAGCTGATTTTCATACACAATTTTTAGTTTCTCACAAACTTCTCTTAATTTATACTTATCGGATTTGATAAATCAAACGAAATCAACAAAATGAATTCAATAGAGATATGTTAGAAGTTAACCATACGTTATCATTTTCCATAAAAAATAAATTAATTAATATCCACATACCCAAAAACTCTAAAAGCCTCGATGGAAGTGCTTGTAGTAAACCCAAGACTGCAACACAAATATAAAATCAGATTTTGCTGCCAAAATTTCTTTATATGCTGATTACATGTTATATGGCAATATGCATGAAATATACTTAATTGAGTTCAAATCCACAAGTTTAAAGACCCAAATCCATGGATCTTGGTGGTTCAAGATGTTAGAGAACAATTCAGAAAATAAATAATAACATAATTTAAAATAATTAATTCTCTATTTATGAAATATACTTGTAATACAAAATGAAACAATAAACAAACAATTACATAAAATAGAATGCAATTCTTATTTATTTTAAGGAAATTTTTTATGAAACCCAACAATAGCTTAATACCCAGGCACCATAGATTTTGGAAGCTTGCCCATTCGAACTGCAATTTCCATGGGTTCAGCAATTTCCAAATCCAATCAATACAAATCCTCGAAATATTTGATCCCAAATTCAAATGAATGAATCTTCACATAAATTTGATTCCAATAAATCAATAATACAAAAAAAAAGTGATTTTCACCCATCCTTTATAATTTTCGCACACTTCTCTTGATTTATAGTCATCGAATCGAATAATTCAAACAAAATCAACAACCACAATTAAATAAGGATGTGTAATTAAAAGGCTTAACAGAGTACGTGAAAATCACCTCTCTTTATTTATAGTTGTTCACACACCCCTCTTTATTTATTCTAGTAAATTTCTTGATTAAATATATCATTTTCAAATTTTAAAACTATTTTTTATCTTTGTAAAAAAAATTAAAACTAATTTTAAGCATTAAAATTAAAAATAAATAAATAAACTGTTGCAAGTTCCCACCCAGCCTAACCCCTCAGACCCGCCCACCCGCGCCACCCCTTTCAGTATGTCTTCAAAGTTCCACCCAGCCAATCTTCTTTCTTCGGTTGCCATGGCGAATCTGCCATGTCTCCGCCCTCCGCCCTCTCCCTCCCCATCCCCCCCCCCCCCCAAAAATCCCCCCTCCCTCCTTCTTGTTCCACTGTAACAACAGCCGAAGACCACTACGACGGCTGCCCTTGCAGCCATGAAACCAAAACCCAATTTCAAAAACGATTCCAAAAAAACCAAATTCGAAATTGAAAAGCAATTCGAATTCGAATCGATTGGTTAAAAGGGAAGGAAGAATCTCACTCTTTGGTGACGGCGATGATGTTGTCAACGAAACCGTTGAATCATCTCATAACAGTACAATCAAATTTTGATTTTTGTAATCGGATTTCAGAACAAGGAAATTAAATTTCTGGAAAATTCGAATTTGGAAACGACAGAATAAAAAATAAAAATAAATAAATAAAGCAAAATACGAGCGGCAATTGGGAAGAAAAATCGAGAAAAAATTTAGGGGCCTCCTTCAAACCTGGCATCAATTTTGACAAATCCGTGCAGAGCATTCATGATTTGCATACGATGATGACTGTTGATTTTTTTTTAAAGTTTTTTTTTTCCTTTAGTTTTAAATCATTTTAAAATTTAAAAAATGATTTATTAATTAGGAAAAGGATCCCCTCCGGATCCTCGAATCCGGTATGTCTATCGTTCATCATACAGTCAATTTTCATAAGATACTGTTCATGTTTAATTTTAAAAATAATTATTTAAAATGATTTATGATTGCACGATAAACGGTTGAAAACTGTCAATATAAGATGCGCACAAACATTAAATATGTACATGAGCAACTCCGGTTAAGTGAATTGTGTCATTTTGTAATTTTGACCCTATTTTAATTGGGTAAACTAGTCGTCAGTTATTAATTTGATGACGTTTTAGAGATGTTCAAATGTTTCACTATTTTGGTGTGATCCCTTTATATATATATATAGATAATAAATAATACATTTGTTTTACTATGTTGTAGTAAGGTAGAGCGGTTCGCTTGAGTTGCTCAACCGCTCCTTAGCCCCGGTGCTCATGACGCAGCACAGAATCTCCACCGTGCCGAGGGACCAAGCAAGGCATAGCTAGTGGTATAGGTATATATATAATACTTTTGTTTTTTGATTTTCACGTTTAAGTTCGGATTAGGCCGTGTTAGTTGTTTATTGTATCTTGTAATGTTCGGATAGGCCGACAACATTTCATTGTATTCCATTCCATCAACCACATCACCTAACTAATTATTAAAAACAAGGAGATGGATAATTGAAACAATTCCAAAAGAAAAAAAAAAGAAAAAGAAAGAGCATAACATATCAAACGGACTTCAACATATCAAATCGTAGTTAGAGTTTTGAGGTGTAACATACCTGTGTTATTCCTTTGATTACCCTGTTCATTTTCTTGATTTTGAACATTTATACGGAAATCTTTGGCGGAATGACCAAGCTCTATGCGTATACCTACCAAGAAATAAATTTCCTCATTCAAAATACTCATTGTAGATATTTTAAAACAGATTTTGTGAATGAAAACATACCATTATGGTATATGATTTAAGAAATGAGTAATGCTAAGGAACCTAAATTTTTAAATCAAATAATGTGGTTATAGATGAGTAAATTATTAATTAAATATCGATTAACGTGCTTATTTCTTATTGGTAACACATCATTTAGTTTAAAAATTTAGTTTTCCTAGCATTAAGACCATCTTATTTGAACCACCTTATGAAACCCTCTATGTGGAAGATGACATTTGTACATGCTACATGTAATGCTGATAAATTTGATGGTAGTGAGAGAAAGGGGAAGATGTTACTAACGATTGTAGATCCACTTTTGCCATAATTTGAGCGACGTCCCACTCGCGAATGCAGAGGACAAAGAAGCAAGTGCAATTATAGGGGAGATGGTGCCTTGAGTACATGTAAATCGTGGGTAACGCTGAAGTAACTCCCATGCAATACCTGTATGTATGTAATTAGACCAATTATTGTATATGCGTGTGTGTATAATGCAGAAAATTTGATTCGGTAGTTTCGTTACCAAATTTTTTGGCATAAAGACAATATCTAACAAGTTTAGAGCCGTAAATGCCTTCATCTAGCATTAGATCTTGGGGTGGAGTGAGAGAGTAGAGATACCGAACTATATCCCATTGGTCACGCCAAGCAGCGGTGACAATCGGAGTCTCTTGGGTAGACTCTGTGGCAATACCGAGTAGTTTCTGGTTCTTCGTTACCATGCATTTAACCATCTTGATGTTTTCTCTTACAGCATAATCAAGAGCCGTCCAACCATCTCTATTTTTTATCTCCAATTGTTCCTCCGTCATCAACTGCACCAGCTCTTCCACAATTTGCTCGTGCCCGAATATTGTTGCGCTGTGAAGAGCTGTCCCAAATCCATCCGTTGCTGTTATTGCATTGGGGTGTAGGGTAAGTAACCCCTTCGCTTCATCCCAATCACCCCTCTTTACAGCAGCGAACAAAGCTTCATACTCATGCGGGATATCCCCTGTCAAGGGTACGTATGTAATAATTATGGCATTTTATATAATATATTGACTACTTTTTCTTCAATTATCCTGGTGTAACTTAAAATAACTTACTTCTTAAGTACATGACATTGTGAACACGAAAGTTCCTTGAAACAAGAAACAAGAATAACGTGTACAAAATAATATTTTGTTTGATGATTTTGGGGTTACGATCTCTCTCTAATTTGGTCCTCTGATTCTATCTTCGTAGGGTGTAGGTTTGTGGATGAGTTGTTGATCCAAAGGGCCGTCGGGGCTTGATCTAAGGATGAACAGTTGATGAACGGATGAACACTTTCTTCAAGGGCCGTCGGGGCTTGATCTTAAATAATGGTTGTGTGGATTTCTTCAAGGGCTTTTGGGCTTGATCTTGAAGGTTGATGGATGAGTGGATCTTCAAGGGCTTTTGGGCTTAATCTTGAAGAACGATTGGATGTGTGGATTTGTTGAGGTTGTTGATCCAAAGGGCCGTTGGGGCTTGAGCTTAGGATGAACGGATGAACACTTTCTTCAAGGGCCGTCGGGGCTTGATCTTGAGTTGGTGGAAGTTCTTCAAGGGCCGTTGGGGCTTGATCTTGGGATGAACGGATGAACACTTTCTTCAAGGGCCGTCGGGGCTTGATCTTGAGTTGGTGGAAGTTCTTCAAGGGCCGTTGGGGCTTGATCTTGAGGGAGGATTTGACGAAGAACAAAGAGTGTTTTCTTGATCCTTCGGGATTTTCTTGAGAGCTTTAGAACTCTAAGGCTTCAAGGTTTTGGTGTGTGGAGAAATGTATTTGTGAATTGGTTGATGCTTGATACCTTGATGGAGAAGCCTATTTATAGGCTTTGAGAATGAATCACCACCACAAAATATTTTTTTCTTTTCCAAGCACCATTGCCTAATTTTCCCACTTAATGCAATATTGAAATTGAAGTGGTGTAACTTATTGCCTAATTTCCCACTTAATACCATTTAAAACTTGAAGTGGTGTAATTTATGGCCTAATTTCCCACTTAATACCATTTTAAACTTGAAGTGGTGTAACTTATGGCCTAATTTCCCACTTAATACCATTTTAAACTTGAAGTGGTGTAACTTATGGCTTAATTTCCCACTTAACACCATTTTAAACTTGAAATGTGTATGCTTTGTCATTGCCCAAATGAGAAAAACTTGCTTTGATCCGTAATGGATTGAAGTATGCTTGCCTTGTCATTGCCCAACATGAGAAGAAAAACTTGTTTTGATCCTCAATGGATTGAAATGTACTTGCCTTGTCATTGCCCAAAATGAGAAGAAAAACTTGTTTAATCCTTCAAGGGTATTTCTCCCTATTTTGTTGAGTCACACGCCACGTGTATAATTTGTACAACACGTGGCGTATGCCATGTATGCCTTGACACGTCAAAACTTTAATGCATTGGTGAACATTTGTTTTACTGAAATTTCGATGTCTACAAATGCCCCCACTTCAAGGCGCGTCGTAGACATGTGCTTGACATGTGTAGAAGATGCGTTTTGAAGTCCCTTAATGTAGATGTCAACCCAAGGGCCGTCGAGGCTTGATCTTGAATTGGGCTGGAAATTTCTTCAAGGGCCATTGAGGCTTGATCTTGAGTTCGACTGGAAGATTTTCTGGTTTCCTCCAATCGTTGATTTTCCGCAGGCTTACTCTTGAACTGGGTGCAGGATTCTTTTGGTCTCCTCCACTCGTTGATTTTCCTTTGTGCTACTCTTGAACTGGGTGCAGGATTCTTTTGGTCTCCTCCACTCGTTGATTTTCCTTTGTGCTACTCTTGAACTGGGCAGCAGGATTCTTTTGGTCTCCTCCGAAGGTCTGGGCTTACTCTTTTTTTTCTGTTTCTTTGTTCAATCTCTCCAATTCGTATTGAAGAGGGTTAGAGGATAGCTCAGCATATGCAGTTGCAGCTTGTCTCCACATGCTTCAATGTATCATTTTCACTTGCCTTACTTGCTCCCCTTTGCAGAAGTGGTATTTCCTTATGCAGGTTTAGCATCTTCTCTTGTAGTATTTGTTCCTGATGCAGGAGTTGAATGCAAACCTTGCATTTGAATGGACCATCACTTCTTGGTGGCAGCGCAAGTTTGAGTGGAGGTTCCGACATATTGCTTTCTCTGTCCTTGTCTTGGCAGGTGAGAACAAGGGCAAAGGAAAAGATAGGGGAAAAGCATGATATGAGATACCTTTGCTTTCGCCCTTGATGATATGAGATACTTTTGCCTTGGTGTCATTTGTTTGCAAGGGCATTCCCGGAGAGGAAGAAAACTGAGCATTTTGAGATGCTTTGCTGGGAGTGTACTCTCGGAGGTGAGGAAGAGTTGGGCATTTTTTTTTTTTGTTTGTTTGCAGGTCTGCCTTGCCATAAAAGATGAAGGTCGACATATATAGGGATTTCCCAATAGCAAGTGGTTGTACTGTTCTTTTACCCTTGTTGACAAACGTTTTTGATCCCGCAAATCCGGCTTTTTGAAATAGTGACGACTCTTCGATCTTTGAATACGCCTTTTTGATTTCTGAACGACGCCTCTTTGATTTCTGAACGAGCGCCTCTTTTGACAAAGCTGCATGCGTTTTCTGAAAAGCAGAGAAAGCGCCACCGAACTTCGCGCTTGTCGGCTAAAGATGTGTAGCTGCGATGATGACCTCCACGTGATCTTTTGACAAAGTGGCACCCGTGCTCTGAAAAGCTGAGAAAGCGTCGCCAACTTACGCCGGAAAATCCAGCTTTTGAGATTTGCAGAGCGATGTCTCTTCACTTTTGAATAAGCGGTCCTTCGATTTCTGAACCAACGCCTCTTTGATTTTTATAGAGGTATTGATCACCTCTAACATGCACACTTTGAAGGTTGCTCATTCCTGAAAATCATCTCCGGCCTTTTGAGTTTTAACTCCATCCACCCATCTCTTTTAACACCTTTGAAAAATGGCTAACCCATCGAACCTTAGCTTAGAATTGAGTCTCAGCAGTGATTCGGTTGCGCCGCGTCAAGGTAATGTATGGTGCCCGTATTTCTTATCTTCTAACGGTCCTCTTACAGGTGAAGACTCAGTGATGCAGAATGCAACAACAGCTACAATAGTAGCTAGGAACCTCCTTACACCAAAAGATAGTAGGCTGCTTTCAGGACGGTCCGATGAGATGGCCGTTCAAGAGTCCCTCGCTCTCAGTGTTCAGTGTGCGAGCTCTGTGTCCAACATGGGCCAACGCCTGCTTGCTCGGTCTCGTCAAGTGGAATCATTGATGGCAGAGGTGGAAGATCTTAAGCAGGAGATTAAACAGCTTAAGTACGAGAATAGAAGTTTGCATGTGCTTGCAAATAACTATTCGTCGGGCATGAAGAGGAAGCTTGATGAGATGCAAGAATCTCAAGGTCGAATGCCAAGTGACCGTCAAAGGCTTGCGTCTTTCTTCCAGAGGCACCTTTTTCCTGGGTCATCCAGCGTTCCGCCAAGTATTGAGGCCTCGAATGCTCTATCTCTGATGCCTCTTGCTCCGATGCCTTCTGCTCCGATGCCTCCTGCTTCGATGCCTCCTGCTCCGAGAGTGTTGCCACGTAGTGGGGCTTCACGTACACATCCTTTGTGAAAGCTTCATCTTTTTTTTTTTTTTTTTTTTTTTTTTTTTTTGTACACTCTTGTAATTTCTCGGATATCAATGAACATGCTTTATTTTATTCAGTGTATTGTGCTAAATACAGATAAAACATATACATCACCAAGATGTTTTTTTTTTTCCTTTTTTTTTATTTTTTATTTTTTATTTTGATGATGTGACTGTACTTGAAATTTTGAAGTTTCAAGTTGCCTACGTACCCTTGGTTGAGGAGGGATCAAGTCATGACGTAGTTCAAATGAGTGATGGTTTTTTTTTTTTTTTTTTGATGATTTTGCCATACACAGTTTATGCTCTTGCGGGCCAGGAGCGTGATACATGGAAGACTTGTGCTGCTTGAACTTGTATTTGTCGCAAAGCTCGTCCACGAGTCGGTTGGAGAACTGTTTTCCGTTGTCAGTGATAATGTAGCGAGGCACCCCATATCGGTGGATGATATGCTCCTTGATGAAACGAACAACAGTTTCCTTTTTTACTTCCCTTAAAGGGATGGCTTCAGCCCACTTGGAGAAGTAATCTGTTGCAGCTAGGATGTAAGCTTCCCCTGCAGATGACTTTGGCGTAATTGGTCCTACAACGTCCAATGCCCATGCGTCGAACGGCCATGAAGCAACTGTAGGGTGTAATGGTTCAGGCGGTTGATGTATGAAGTTGGCGTGGAATTGGCAGGCTTGGCACCTTTTGGCGTGTTCCAGGCAGTCCTTCACCATGCTCGGCTAGTAGTAACCCATTCTTTTAAGCCGGAAATGTAGCTTTGGTCCAGACTGATGTGCCCCACACACACCTGAATGTGCTTCTTCCATGGCTAGATTAACTTCTTCCTCACCTAGGCATCTCAAGAGCACTCCTTCAAAAGAGCGTCGATAGAGTGTTCCTTTGTAGTAAAGGAAGCGAGGTGCTCGTCGACGTATTTCTGAACGGTGTTTGAGATCATCTGGAAGCTTTCCGTGCTCTAAGTAGTCGATCAGCAGCTGTCTCCACTCTTCAGCATCGACTGGAAGTACTGAGATGACATTTGTATCATCTAGTGACATTTCATTAACGAGCGGAATCACCCATCTTTGGAAAACTGGCACGTCTGCAACTTCATCTTTTCCTAGTGTCATACTCGAGGCTAGATTGGCGAGAGCGTCTGCCATTTGATTTTCCTTTCTTGGCACATGTTCCAATGTCACAGCTTCGAACTTTTGTAGCAGTTGGGTCGCTAGCCGGAAGTATGGGACGAGATCATCTTTCCTCACCTCATATTCAGTTAAGAGTTGATTGATTATGAGCTTGGAATCGCCATATACCTCAAGAGCTGTGATTTCCATGTTGATCGCCATTTGGAGCCCGATGATCAATGCTTGGTACTCAGCAACATTGTTGGAGCATAGCTCATTCAGTTGGAAGGAGTAAGGTAGTATTTGCCTTTGTGGCGACATGAATACTACTCATGCCCCCGCTCCGTCTGCTCGTGCAGATCTGTTGAAGAACATCGTCCATGTTGGGAAGATGTCGATGTAGAACACCTCCTCGTTAGGCAAGTCGTCTGAGATTTTCCAATCAGCCGGGATTGGATGATCGGCAAGGAGCGTTTGGTGCCGTTTGCAGTTTCAGCTCGTGCAGGCAAAGAGCGTTTGGTGCTGTTTGCAGTTTCAGCTCGTGCAGGCAAGGAGCGTTTGGTTGTCACCTTTTAGGCTCGTGCGAACGAGGAGCTTTTGTTGTCACCTTTTAGGCTCGTGCGAACGAGGAGCTTTTGTTGTTGTTGTGGACTTGTCAAGCGATCTGGGAGAGGCGTTCCTCGCAATCTTCATAGGAAGGAGCCTTGACCGAGTAATTGAAGAAGTCTTCTGGGAAGAGGTCGCACATTGTGATGGGGATGGACGATCTTTGTGTCGAAATTTCATTATCTCCAGCACTTTCACATTGTTCTGGAGGTTGACAAGAGCTGTTTTGCCCTATTTTCGACTGATAAACTTGTGGACAAGATGGTTGCTGCTTGTCCAATTTCTTCGAAGCGATCTTCGAACTGCATTCCTCACAATCGTCATAGCAAGGAGCCTTGATCGAGTAATTGATGACGTCTTCGAGGAAGAAAAGATCCCGCATGAACGATCTTTGTGTTGTAATTTCATCATCCTCAACATTTTCATGTAGCTTTGAAGGTTGACGGTAGCTGCTTTGCCCCTTTTCCGATTGGTGCACTTGTGGAGAAGACATGTGTTTCTCGTGCAGTTTCTTCGGAGTGACATGAGTCCATCCTTCAATTTCACTTGACTTGGAGCATGCCCCCAACAGTCGAGGTGAAGACTTTGAGTCGAAAGAGCCAAAAGTGACATCTTTCTTAGGGATTTCACCTTCAGTGCCGTCCTCTTGGGTTTGTTGGCATGAAGATTTGCCAGTGTGGACGATGATGCGCCTCCTTACCTTCAATGGTCCTTTTGTGTTGACCTCTAGGATTGCTTGGCGCTTCATCCTTGGAGGAATCAAGCTTCGAACGTCGCATTTTTCTGCTAACCCATCAAACTTTTCTTCCTTTGGTGTTGTCTTCCTCTTTCCAAAAGGCTTCTCATTATCTTCAAATCTTTCCGAAGCTGATCGTCGCAGAGGAGAGACAGTTGTGTTGCTTTGTTTCTTAGGCTTTAATAACCTTTCAAAAACAGAGCTTTAGGATGTTGGAGCGCTAAGCCTCTTGAAGACAGAGGTTCGGCCTTGACTACCAATGCGATTAAGCGCTGAAATTCTAGAGCTTGAATGGCTCATCCTATCGAAGACCGACGTCCGAGGGGCGGGTTTAGGCTCTTTTTGGTCTTGTTCAATGCTCATGCTGATGTGTTGAGCGCTAGCTTTCTTCACTTTGCTTGAAATCTTCACAGGTGCATTTGGTGTGAAGCCAAGTTCGGCTTTGTTGTTGTCAACTCCGTAACCATGCTCCTTCAACTTCTTTTGAGTTTTGGTGAGGTTACGTTCTTTGTCATTGACGGTGTTTGAAACCTTCTTTCCAAGATTTGAAGAGGAAGCAAAGTCATGCCTAGCCTTTGACATGAGTTCGTAGGCATTTGGGTTAAAGCCTTCTTCGGTCTTCTTAGTTGGAAGAGAGCTTGGTTTCATTTTGACGCCATGCTATGCCTCCAGACGCTTGATGAGTCCGGCGGTTTGCAAGTTTTTCTCCTCTGCAGTCCGTGTGAGCTTTGCGATTGCTTCATTCATCTGAGCTAGCTGCTCCTCGATTGAAGTTACTCCAGTGGTCATGACTTGCATGGTTGTACTGCCGCTCGAATTAGCGTCGGAGAGTAGGGACTTTGAGTATTTCCTCAGGCTTTCCCCTCTTGATGCCCTTAGCGAGGCTAGGGTGATCACAGGCTCGTGCCTCAGGTGCTCTTGTTCCTTTGACAGAGTTAATGCAGGGGCGGAAGCCGCGGCAAAAAGAGCTCTTGCCTTACTTCGGGTTATGGTGCCCGAAATATCACCACTTGCGGCGATGATGTTCTTGTTCTTTGCTTTGATTGCAGGAACAGCTTGATCCTTTCTTGATGCCATTTGCGTTTTTCGATGATTTGAGGATAGAGATGAGAGGTAGAGATGTCCCACTGGGCGTGCCAAATTTGTGAACACGAAAGTTCCTTGAAACAAAAAACAAGAATAACGTGTACAAAATAATATTTTGTTTGATGATTTTGGGGTTACGATCTCTCTCTAATTTGGTCCTCTGATTCTATCTTCGTAGGGTGTAGGTTTGTGGATGAGTTGTTAATCCAAAGGGCCGTCGGGGCTTGATCTAAGGATGAACAGTTGATGAACGGATGAACACTTTCTTCAAGGGCCGTCGGAGCTTGATCTTGAATAATGGTTGTGTGGATTTCTTCAAGGGCTTTTGGGCTTGATCTTGAAGGTTGATGGATGAGTGGATCTTCAAGGGCTTTTGGGCTTAATCTTGAAGAACGATTGGATGTGTGGATTTGTTGAGGTTGTTGATCCAAAGGGCCGTTGGGGCTTGAGCTTAGGATGAACGGATGAACACTTTCTTCAAGGGCCGTCGGGGCTTGATCTTGAGTTGGTGGAAGTTCTTCAAGGGCCGTTGGGGCTTGATCTTGGGATGAACGGATGAACACTTTCTTCAAGGGCCGTCGGGGCTTGATCTTGAGTTGGTGGAAGTTCTTCAAGGGCCGTTGGGGCTTGATCTTGAGGGAGGATTTGACGAAGAACAAAGAGTGCTTTCTTGATCCTTCGGGATTTTCTTGAGAGCTTTAGAACTCTAAGGCTTCAAGGTTTTGGTGTGTGGAGAAATGTATTTGTGAATTGGTTGATGCTTGATACCTTGATGGAGAAGCCTATTTATAGGCTTTGAGAATGAATCACCACCACAAAATATTTTTTTCTTTTCCAAGCACCATTGCCTAATTTTCCCACTTAATGCAATATTGAAATTGAAGTGGTATAACTTATTGCCTAATTTCCCACTTAATACCATTTAAAACTTAAAGTGGTGTAATTTATGGCCTAATTTCCCACTTAATACCATTTTAAACTTGAAGTGGTGTAACTTATGGCCTAATTTCCCACTTAATACCATTTTAAACTTGAAGTGGTGTAACTTATGGCTTAATTTCCCACTTAACACCATTTTAAACTTGAAATGTGTATGCTTTGTCATTGCCCAAATGAGAAAAACTTGCTTTGATCCGTAATGGATTGAAGTATGCTTGCCTTGTCATTGCCCAACATGAGAAGAAAAACTTGTTTTGATCCTCAATGGATTGAAATGTACTTGCCTTGTCATTGCCCAAAATGAGAAGAAAAACTTGTTTAATCCTTCAAGGGTATTTCTCCCTATTTTGTTGAGTCACACGCCACGTGTATAATTTGTACAACACGTGGCGTATGCCATGTATGCCTTGACACGTCAAAACTTTAATGCATTGGTGAACATTTGTTTTACTGAAATTTCGATGTCTACAGACATGTTATGACTTTAACATAGTTTCTATTTATACACAACCATCTCTTCACACCCAACTTTTATCACTAGACACCCAGCACACCCAACAATCTCTAATCCTTGGATTTGATATCAAGGTTTTAAGATTAAAATTTAATTGTGAAACAAGGATTATAGGAAGAAAATTGAAATTAAAATTTTGGAATAGAAAGATAAAACAAAATAATACACAAGATAGTGATAAACATGTCGAGTCTCGTTCTTTTGGTCTCCCGATGGTCAAGGGTTCATGGTCACTAACCCTTGAGTTTGATATCAAAATTTGAGAATAAAATCTTGAAATCACGTCTATTTATTCTTCATGATTCCACCCTTGATATTAAATTCAGAGTGAGTGACCATGTGTTTCTTACATAGAAGGAAACCAAGAGAACCCTTCATATACATTTAATACTTTAATTTTGATGATAGATACTTGAGTTTTCTGATCTACTCAACTCTGCATGGATACCTGAGTTTTGTGATCCCCTCAACTCTGCTGCCATGCTCAATCTGTCAATTTATCCAAAGGAGATTTTAGTATAGGTAGATGATGATCATGTGTTTATATATGAAAACAAAGAAAGAAATAGTGAACAAAAAGGATAAGTAATTAACAACTCACTACTTGAATTGAAATGGGGAAGCCTTCAGAAAACTGCTTCAGCTTGAATTGGGGTGCTATAGCATTGGTGCTGCTAAACCTGTTTCTCATCTCTATATATAAAGCCAACACTAAAGTGAATAGTGTCAAGCTTCACAAAAAAAAAAAAGGACAAAAATGCCTCCAAAACAAAAAAGTTCAAAAGCAATCTAAAATAATGCACCAAATAATGCAAGGGTATTTTCTTCATATAGCAGTGTTTTTTAATAATTAATTCTTTTTGTACAGTTTTTTTTTTTTTAAATTATACAAAAACATTTAAAACGTGTAAGTCCATCCCAACACGCCGTAATTCAAAAAATACCTTCTACACGCCTGTGAGCGCATGCATGAAGGCTATTATATACTATATAGTCAACGATAAATAAATGATTTTGTCCCCTTTTTTATACGAAGTTTGTCATGTATTTTATGGATCGACATTCTTAACAAATCAGCAGAACATGCCCGTCCATATTAGCAATGACTTGACAAGTTATGATACTTTCACATTTTTTAATTGTCTTTCCAACAAAAATAAACAATGAAAGAACCAACTATGCATGGAATCTTAACTTTTGACACTTGGGGAGTTTAGAAGCTATACTTTTCGTACAAATTAAATTAAGGATCAAAGCAGCAGTATCAAGTAAGCCTAGTTGGGAATTTAGAAGCCTTACTTTGCCTACAAATTAATTTAAGGATCAAAGCAGCAATATCAAGTAATAAAAATTGACAGTTTGCCATACTATGTAGAAGTTATCAAGCCCTAAAGTTCAAAACATTCTTTGTCCAGCACTAGATTGGCAAATGGATGCCCAAGGCTGCACTAAGGAATCGCTCTGAAGTTCTTAATAGACTGGGTTTTGTATATTTGGACTGATTCATCCAGCTTAGGATTAATTAGGGATTGCTATGAGTTTATAGAAAAGTGTTTTCGTTGTGCGTTAAGAATAATCAGTTGTAGAATAAAGCAGATGACAATTCATAAACTATTTTTAAAACTGTTGTGACTATGAAAAGCAGTGTAAGAATCTCCTCCTTTTCTTGCCAATCACCCCTCCTTACAGCACTGAACAGAGCTTGACACTCATCTGTCAAGGGTACGCATGTAATTAACTATGGCCTTTTATACAATATATTAACTACTTTCTTCTTCAATTTCCTGGAATAACTTAAAATAACTTCTTAAGTACATAGCATGGTATGACTTTAATCTAGTTTCATATTAAATTCAAGAGTGAGCGACCATGCGCTCCTTACACATAAGAAAACCAAGACAACCTTTCATATAGATTTAATACTTTGATTTTGATGATAGATACCTGGGTTTTCTACTGAGTTGAACTCTGCTGCCATGCTAAATATGTCAATTTATCCAAAGGAGATTTTATTATAGGTAGATCATGATCATGTGTTTATAAATGAAAATAAAGAAATAAATAGTGAACCAAGTATATATGGAATCTTAACTTTTGACACTTGGGAGTTTAGAAGCCATACTTTTAACTACAATTTAATTTAAAGATCACAGCAGCAATATCAAGTAAGCCTAGCTGGGAGTTTAGAAGACATACTTTGCCTACAAATTAATTTAAGTATCAAGGCAGTAGTATCGAGTAAGCCTAGGTACAGCGCCTACACTAATAAAAATTGGCACATGCTATGTAGAAGTTATCAAGCCCTAAATCGTAAAACATTCTTTGTCCAGCACTAGATTGCCAAATACATGCCCAAGGTTGCAGAAAAGAATACCTGAACCTCTACCTTCTTCTACGTTTCAAAAGCTTCTAAGCGTAAGAATATTCCCACTCGGTTTCAGCTATATTGATCAGAATACTGGTGCGTTTGCTTGGTGTTTAAGGTTCTTTTTTTTTTATGTTTTCATGTGGAAGGGACTGAGCTACTTGCACGGAGTTGGTCATCTTTCATGTTACATTTGACGCATAGATATTAAAAGTGGTCTTTTGGTATTAACAAAGCTAGCAACATAACTACCAGTGTGCGACATTTGTTGGGACAGTCACTTACATATCGCCTGAGCGGATTTGAAATGAGAATTATTCCTATCCAGCTGATATTTGGAGCCTTGGTCAAGCTCTCTTTGAGTGTGGTACTGGAGAATTCCCATGTACAGCTAATGAAGGACCCGTTGCTGCATTCATATCCTTTCCATTGCCTACATCCGCCGTTGTTTTGCAACTAAAGTTCTGAGGTCTATGGCACATCTTGGATGATCGATCACCTACACCTTCAAAACACCAATTTTCAACAGAGTTCTGCTCGTTTATTGAAGCCTGCTTGCAAAAGGATGCAGATGGCTAGGCCAACAGCAGAGCAGGTGATCATATTAGCCACAGATTTCAATCTGGGAGATGGTCGCTTGACATCGACATTGTTTAACTAGTATTCTTCTTCTGCAGATACTTTCACACCTCTTCATCACAGAGTACGAGGCTTCCCAAGTTGACTCAGGAGCATTTGCCCGAAGCGTTTTTGATCCAACACAAAGTATGATGGACTCGGCAGTGTGAGTACTTGACACTTGCATCATCTTTAAACCAACAAAAGTGTGCTTAAAACACTTACAATAAAGAGTCTTGAGAGGTACTTTCGAAACCACAAACTCAAGGAGAGAAACCTAACCCTACACAATGGCATGGCTAATCATCAATTAATCCTGCTTTTTTAAAACGAGTAACCATCCGGGGAGGACGTTTTCATTTCAACACAATTTTGTACGATGTCGTTCAGTTGCAATCTCTTTTTGCTTATGCCAGCAGCCGATGCACAAGCGCAGGATATGTAGTCTTAACAAACGTATAAATTGAAATCTAACACGACCAATTAGTATCCTATTCCCTTGGTCTATCACTCGACTCCAAGATTCATCAACAAGCTAAAGAGACAGCAATTCACTGAACAGGATGTCTACTTTTTCGTTAAATCATAAATACAAAAAATACAAACACAAATCAAGAAAATTACCTTAAACCACAGCTTTCGGAGCTCATACGAACCGGCATTGAAACTGAACGAAGAAACGTTTGGGGAATCAACCAAGACCGTCCGATTGATTCCACGATCATAATCATAACCCTCAGGTTCAATGGATATATGT